ATTGTTAACATAATACTTTAAATATTTTAACGTGAAAAATAAATAATGAAAATTTTAATTCTGATGTTAAACAACATAATGTTTTAAAATCACAAAATGCTGTTGTATTAAAGTCATATTTAATTAATAAAAACTCTTCCATCAGAAAACTAAGCTATGGAAGTTATTAATATTAGGTATATATTCACATAATTTCAACTAACACATGATGAAAAAACACTTGACAACTTGTTCAGAATTCCGATAGCCAAAGAAAATGTTATTTGAATTAAGGTTCTTCTAAAGATCTTTATTAATACAACGAAGCATTGAAAATTATGAAGACACCTCATTATATAAATAAAAAACTTGTCAACGAGTCGATAAAAACAAAATACTTAATTGATGTGTTTAACACCTTGAAATAACAAATTGCCTTTGTATAAAACAATATAAATGAGAACTTTTAAACTTTAAACTATACCTTTGTTCTAGTTCGGTTCGAACAAACTGCAGCCAATCAGCAAACAAACAAACTAACTTGTAAGTCCCAAAGTAAGGTTCGCGATTCATGCAATATGCTCCAAAGTTCCACGAATAATTCAAACAAGTGAACATAGTTTGCACTCTGACTGTGAGGCTGATGAATTGTCGTGATAAGAATATATCATGGCTCAGCTTTATCACACTATCTAGATATTCCAATGTTGTAAGGGTGCGATCCAAGAATGACGTAATGACTACTTTCGATCTCATAACTACAATAAGAGAAGCCTCAGGTATTATATTATTTTCCCATTCAATATTTCTATTGAAAGGAAAAATTATCCGTGACAGCCTGTTCAGTCTACCGTAGATCCCGAGAGAAAAAAATCGTTATTGTTTTTCGAAATAAATTATAATAACAGAATAAAGACTTGTTACATTTAATTACATTTATATATTACAAAATCAATTCGTATTGTTGTTTTCAGTAATAAATTAAATAAATAGTTTTACCGATCGTATATATTACAATTATGTGTTCTATTAAAGTATAGAATATAGAAAACAATCCAGACTACAAACAAATATTATACTTTTCCGACTTGAAAGCAAACTTTAAGTTCATATAAGAAAGTTTGTGTTTCAGTTTGACTTCGTTGCTATGATTAGTTTATGTTACAGAAGCAGAAGTTATACGAAATAATAATATTAAAAGATATAAAGGGCTATTGTACAATATGAAAAATCTTAAAGTACTCTTAATAAAATAAACGATATAAATAACAGCTGATGGGAGTTGCATGTGTTATGTTTGTGTTGAAAAATATACTTAAATAGATATGTTTTTAGCGCCAGAATGAATGGCTAGCTATAAGTAATATGACAATTAAATGTGTCTCTCTTAAGACACTAAAAAAGATATTTCAAGTAACGACAATTAAGAAACTACAAAATAAACTGTAATATTGATTATATGAAATAATATTGTCATGATAATTTTACTGGTGATAAATACTTTTAATCTATTTTTCTGAGTACGGATATAAAGAAAGAATTATAGAAATGAGCTCAACTTCAATTATATGTAGTTGCTGAAAATTAGTCAAGTATACCACATCGGTATTATATAAAATCATTTAAAATATAATAAATAATAATTTAATTTTCTGTTTTAATTCTCGTATTTTGTTATGTAATGTTTTACTAATCGTTTCGATTACTCTGTATAAACGTAGTCACAGGCTGAAGAGATGAAATTAAATAATAAAGTATGCAGAAATCATGAATACAACTAAATTTAGTATATTGAAAAAGTTTGAGATAAAATCATTAATAAATATTAATTATGAAACTATTTGAATAACCACTAATAAAAGGAATGTTTGTATTTAAAACAATTTTCTTAGACAAAAAAAAAAATTCGTTTAAATTAGCCAAAATAGAAGTGAGCATTCAAGTATATAAAAAAACCATTAAAACGGGGCAGTTAAGTTTGACTTTAGAAAAAATTATTCCTTTTTCGTATTTTGTAGGATTTAGATGTTTATAGACTGTAGGCAGCACTTCATTAATAAATACAATATACTGAAAACTATATCCTTCATTTCTGATGAAAAAGTGTAATGATAACCTCAAACAAAACATTTGTAATCAAAAAATAAACTTTCTTTTAAAAATATTGCAGGGATCATACGACCTATCAGACATTCTTATGTACATATGAGTACATTATATAGTGACCACTGTAATGTTTTAAAAATATATTCTACTTATTCCAGATTTCCCTGTAGCTGAATAAAATGGGAAAGTATTTTTAAATTAATTTTAAACAGTTTTAAATTTCAAACATTTTATTGTTAGTATAGTCGAGCTCATATGAAAATAACACAATTTTTATGTATAAAATTAATACAAAATATTTATCAGGCGAATCACAAGCCTGAAACAACTTTTGTATATTATGTTGAACGGGTCGAACTGTTTGTGGTTACGAGGATTACGAAAAGAATTATTCATATTGAGTTTATTTGTTACCGAAAATAATGTATGTTGCGAACAAACTTAATTTATTTTGCAATAATAATAATTGTTAACATTACAAAGGATACTTCAAACTGAAGAAAATAATGTGGCAATACAAGTTTTTACTACCACAAAATATTTTGGTTAAATTAATCAGGCCTATTTAACTACTGATTAAATGGATAAATATTAAACATGCTGACATTAACATTTTATATATTTTCAGATAAGATATAGAGTACGATAGAGAAATGTTATTTAGTTTTATAAAAGCTCTTTTTACGTTCATCGGCTTTTTATAATTTCATCTTCTATGTAAGCTAAAACTAAAAACCTAGAAAATATCTGCTATAACAAAGACACAATATACATGTTACACCTCATATCATTTTGTTATTTTAATGATATATTTAGGTTTATTGTGATTTTTGAATGTGCAAACTAATGAAAGCCTAACAGTGGAGTTCTAAAACATACGTCTGGCACTAATTCAAATTGTTAATTTAATTTACATAGTTTCAATTAAAAGTCTTAGACAGGTATTTTATAATAAGGACGGTTCAAAAGAAACTTCCGAGACAATATTTTTCATTTTCTTATTATCTCTGTCAAAGGTTTGTCGTAACGTTGATTATGTCGCTACAGAAGTGTAAACTGTGAAAGGTCAAATAATAATTCTTGTTCATTTGAAAAATGTAGAAATAGTGCTATTTATAGATGTAGGAGGCAATAAAACGATCTCAGAAGCGACTGCAGCTTAAACGAGTTTCAATTTTAAAGAGAGTTATTGAAATTGATTACATTAGAGGCGGAAGACGTCACCGGCGCCGCCCCCGTTTATTACCAGCCTTCATCACTAGATGTTTGTTACGAGAGCTTCATGTACTCTTAGGATTTTCTCACATTCTTTTATTTAAGATTCAGTTTAATGAAAATATCCTCTCTGCTCATGCTATATAAAAATAATATATCTATTTTATAAGGGAAGGTGCTCAAAAGGCATCAATTTACGTTATTTTAGTTGTGGTGTAGTTTCATCTTAATCGATATATTTATTTGTTTATAAATGTGATGGCTATTAGCTATATATATATGTGTGTGTGTGTGTGAGAGAGAGTATAAAATGTTGTGAGAATCATATGTTAAGAGAACATTCCAATTAGCGTTTGCTATTCATCGTATAGACAAAGATTTTTTTTCTTTTAGAACATTTTAATAAAAGTTCGATATAAAACGTTTCTATTTTCATGTTCAATATCACTTTCTGCTTATGAATGTAAACAATTTATTGAACCGTAAAGACTAAAACCAATACGAATACTCGAAAACAACAAATCGTTTTTAGCTATACATTTTTTTGTTCATTCAACTGTTTGTTTTGAATATTGTAAATGTAATTTGTATATAATATTCTCGTAACTTCCATTGAACAAATCAATGTACCCAGTGTTACATGACTTAAAACGTTTTTCATAATAGTTGGTTACATACTTGTCATGTTTTAAATTACAGTGTTGCCAACCATTTTAGTGGGAGACACATTCCAGCATTTCATGTGTCTCCAAACTATTTTCTCTAAAATAAAACATGTACACATATAATTAATTCGAGTAACATACATTTTCCTACCACCAAAACTTCTGCAACAAAATTTTATCAAATGTAAATTTCATTAAAAGGTTCAAAATCCAAATCAATCTACGTTTTTATTACGACAGTTTTTTTTTTTTTTTTTTTTACGAGGGGAATCTTTTAAAGACTTCCTGCCGCGGGGGAAACGCGACAGGGGCATGTGGGATTTCCACCCACTAAACCACCTCGACGTTCTCTGCGCTGTGCGTAGACTAGTGAGCGGGAACGGCAAGCCATACTTCCGCTCAACGACAGTTGTCTCAAGTCAAACTCAACTCTAATTCATAATAATTTAACCCGGCGTCATTGTGGCTAATAAACAGAACTTGGCCGTTGTGGCCGGGTAAATTTTACCCATGTACATTATTGTACACTGAATCAAGCATATGTCAATATTAGTCTTCTATAATAGGGAAATAGGTGGTTAAATACATTATTAATAAAAATCAAACATTTATTTATCATAAAATGAGCATATTACTCATCAAATTAAATCTTTTTACTCTGGGATAATTTTTTTAGAACATAACTTAAAACGTTTATTCGAAAACATAACATAATAGACATTTAGAGACAAAACATAAAATTTTCTTTAGAACATAAACATGAAATTATGAACTATATAAAACAAAGCTTATTTACTAATAATATACCGACTTATTCGCTATCGAGATCAACGCAACTTTGGCATAATGGGATAATGTGTTGTATACAAATAGGCTTATTGCAGTTATGCCTAGTTTTTTTGTCTTTGGCAGAAGGACAGTCTTTGCATCTCATATATGTTTTAGAACTTTTATTCGGAGGGTAGGTCATCATTTCACCGACTTGTTCGTGAATACGTTTACGTAAGCCTCTCGGTAAGTTCTCCACATTTTTTCTCACTCGAAGATGACCTTCAAGCATTGATAGACCGAGTTTTCTAAGGTAATCACGCCGGTTTGTTCCAGCATATTATTATTTATAAAGCGTTTCCAACACTCTATTTCAGTCTTATCATTTTGCGCAATAGGCTTTACCCCAGGTTTTTGTAAAATTATGTTTTCTGACCTTGTGCGGACGTTGGTTCGAGGTGGTTGCGAAGACCATTTGGTGGAATTGTCTTTACCAATATAAAACTGCTGGTTACTTGTTGAAACAATTGCTTCTTGCTCATCATCGCTGCATTCCTGTTCCGTATCACTGCCTTGACTTCGCTCTGAAATATGGTCGATTTCACCCTGGTCGTCTGAACTGCACTGTTCATTTTCACTGGCGTCAGCTTGTTCAAACAAGGCTAAGCGTCGACGTTGTTCGCTTTCGTAAGACATGGTTCATAAAACTGTGAAAAACGATATGCAATTTATCAATAAACAATAAAAAACAACAAACACGCTGTCTTTATAAATGTTACGAGGCCATTGTGGCCGGGTATAACTTACCCGCGCGCTCTTTACACACCTTTACACTACGAGGTAGCCGCAGCAACACTAAATAGAGAAGAGAATACGCAAATAGAGGTCAACGACCGCAGCTACTGTAACGGACAAAAGATTCGCGCATTTTGTTTTTAAAATTATGACAATTTTAAAATGCGTCGGGTATTAGATACCCGGCAACAATGACGCCGGGTTAAGGGTTCAGTATTACTCATTAGTAGTATTGTAGGTAATGAAAGTTACGGAAAATGACTGAAAGTTGGCGATATGACGACAACTATTAACCAACTTGTTGTCATATTATGTAGCTCGATAGAAACATTATATTTTTGTATATATCAGATTTGTATTTTGCCTTCGACTGGACACAAACAGGCAACTATCTTCTACGACTTTCGTTTCTGTAATACGTTGTTTTGTTATTTCGAATTTTTGAGAAAATATCTAAGAGCTGTAATTTGTACTTAAATTCAATTCGGAAAAACAAGGCATGGTTAAAGTTTTGACGTCATTTTTAATTTAACATAGTGGAATGTCTGAGATAGAAAACTAATTATTTCTAATGAAATTCTACAATATGGATATCAAATGTAAGAATTTTCTAATTTTTACTGGAAATCAAGAGGTGTTAGTTTAAATCCAAATATAACGTTCTACTCATTCTTAAACCTTAATTTTGAAGAAGATAAACAACAGTTAGAAATAAGAAAAATAATCATGTTTAATTATCCAAAATCCTGAGCATACGGCGCGTAGCGTACCGCGCGCGCGCTTCAAAGAGCCATCAGACCATCACAGATGGGGCCCTAGAGCCGATGCCAGGCCAGGTCGCGGGTGTAAGCGCAATGATGTACCGCGGCCAGGCTCGGAGCAGGAAGTAGGTACGGGGGGTTTTAGTCGGTAAGAATCTGACACTCCCTCATTCCCCACCCAGGGCAAGAGGGGTCATTTGATGATTTTTACCTTAAAAAAAAAGGTTATTCAAAATGGCGGACTAGTTAATTTTAACTAAATTTTACGATGTGGATATCACAAAAAATGCTTCCTTAAAACGGAACTGCATAATTTACATAATGCAAAAGAAGCTTGGTGAGATAATATGTTGTTCAAAAAGAGCTAAATAATATAACTAGATTAGAATGATTTCAACACAATTTTTTTAATACAATTGTCTTGTACCAGATTATAATTGGATATGATAGTAATAAGAGATGTAGCTCAAGAAGGTAAGCGAACATTCTCAGTCTCAGTAGAAACCTATTCTCTCTTTTCTTGAAAATCAATTCTGTCAGGATTCCTGCAAATATTTTTTTGAACTAAGAATATTTCTTTTTTTATTCTCCTTACAATTTTTTTAATTATATAAAAATCTTAATAGGTGATAGTAGACAAATATTACTCAACGTATTCATAAAGATACCTGTTAAACGAGATTTCTTACTTGTAATTTATTATATAGAAAATTTAATGCATGATAACATTTTAAATATATGGGTTTTAATAATTTTAATAACGTTCTGAGCTCTAATTATTGATTGTCCATTGATTACCACTTTTAGCTTTAACATTTAACCTATTCTCTACATAAATATATTTTAATTATGATAAACATTTATTTTGTTTGTTTAGCAAAGCAAATCACATCAGTGATTTTAGTGTCCCTAGCTGAAACTTAAAACTCTCTAAAACTAACGTATTTATCGCTGGTATTATCAAACTGATGATTAAAGCCCAGTTTGTGTATAGGATAACAAATCATCTCTTACGTTACCCGTATATAACATTTTATTTAGATTATAAATAAAGAATAACTTCAAAATGTAGGTTTCTCTATGGGTATATGATTAATGAAATTATATTCAAAAACTAGTGTTTTATGAAATAAGCTGAACAAAGCCTCAAAAATGTAAAAAAATAATAATAAATAATTTAAATTGATGACAAGATGATAATTTTACGAGCTCTAACGTTCAAGATCCTTACAGTTTCTATTAGGAATGGAGAAGATGAAGTAATATTTTTGTGATGTTTAATCGTGTATTAATAACCAAACAAGACTTCCGTCCGTTAACCGGCTAACAATCCAATCACAATCAAAGATATTTACAATTGAAGACGGTCAGCGGGCCAGGAGGTGCGCGCGCCGCAGGAGCCTCCAGCCGTCAGTCGCGCGGCGCTCGCCGCTTGGTTGGTTCACTGTGTCAGCTCCAGGCGAGGGAAGCTTCGTGATCCGTACGACGCGACGTGAGCCGGTGTAGTGAAGTGATATGGTGTTTTGTTGTGATTGTTAAACGACCAGCACTGGCACCGCTCGAGGTTCGTTGGCATTACAATATTTTATATATAGAAATAATGTGTAAAGATAAAGTAAAAGATATATAACAAGTTTTTTTTTTAAATTTGTTAGTGAACTTAAATTTAGTCAAAACATATTTGATTAAGAATAACATACAATTTATAAAAACAAAGTTAATATGGTCACATTAGTTAAAACAGAACGCATTTGAGAGAAATATAATCAAAATAGACGTTTGTTTTCTGTAAATTTTAACGTTCATTCAGTGATATTGAAATATGAAAATGTTATTTTAATTAATTGTTATAAATTTTGATCATTATAGTGTATTATAAAATATTAAAACCTTCATCAGTGACATGAGAACTATGTATTATAGGTAATTGAACATTGAAGTTCTAACAAGTTTTTCTCGGATTTGAAACCGTCTCGTGTTGGGAGGTCCTTTGTGTTATAATCAACTTAATTGAATCAAAACCACTTAGTAGGGTACAGATGGTATAAGATAAACAGGGATAATTTTATTATCCCTTTTTGAAAGTAATCGCTTCTGTTTCATTTTGGTTCTATATCAATGTTTTAATAAGGGCGGTTAAACTCCCTAAAAGCTTTTCTTTCTATTGCTATTACATAACTTTTTTGCAACATTAGTGAATAATCTGATGTAAAGATATTTTTTCTTTACATCCATTATAATATCGCGTGGAACATCATTAGGGCGACTTTTATTCCATCAGTAATGGGAGTAATATAAAAGTCATTAATAACAATTAACGAGCCTGCGACAGATCCCGTCTTCATTTACAGCCAACTCGGACCGACTTGTCGAATCACTTTTTTGATTAGTCAACTTTAAAACCATAAATCAAAGTAAATTTCTTAGCGTGTTATTTGTTATAGAGTAGGAATTATTACGACCCATTAGAGTTAATCTCGATAAAATATTACACTCAATTATATTTTTTTTATAATCCTTAATCATTTTTCCATTTGGTCCAATCGTTCTGCTGGTCATCATGGAAGCAAAATTCGCTGATAGGTTTTAAATGTTAGCGATATTTGCATTTTGTAATATGGATTTCGAAGTTCATGCAGACGAGATCGGATAGAGAAGCTAATGAATAGTAAAATGAAAGGCGCGTGATTGAAGTGTAGAGATCTACTATTCATGAATTTTTACTTTCCGAGCCTTCTTCAAAAAGTAATTACTATGAAATGCTCAATTTGCTTCATAATTGCGTGATTCGAGAAAGTAAGTTTCACTCGTACTTTTAAAATTCCATCGTTAATATGTACTTGAGTTATAAGCCTTTTAATTAATGAGGAAGAAAATAACTTCGTAAATTACTTTGCTTCAAAATCAAATATAAATATATCACATGGGCTTTCGTTGACGGAACTTTCCTTTAAGTTTCTCTTCAACACCACTTGGGTAACATATAATTAAAGTTACTCCTTGACTTAATAACCAAATATTTAACAAAGGCATGGGAATTTTGACATTCAATTTTATGCCGTACGGGTTTATATAGATACATTGGTTATTTAGGTTTGTTTGTTGGCAATTTAACATCTCTCTTTCAGTGTTATATTAAAATGTTGTATTTTTTCTTAAAATATTTTTTATCTTTTATAATATAACAAAATGATTATCATTTAAATAATAATTATTAATATCGTCTTTAATGTAAGGTCGTAGAACCTGAGCAGCGGGCGTTAATAAAACAAATTCATAAAGCGAACAGAAGCTTCCAGTCCATTTTGTGTATCGTAACTTTAAAGGAAATTTGTAATATTTTGTAAAATGGCGTAATTTGCATAATTTATGCATAACGTATGCATCACTGTGCAAATTACATTATGGTAAAATTGCCAAGTTTTATGCAGATTGAAGCAAAGGGAATTCGTCTGCTGTAAAATCAATATCATGTCTTTATTCTGCGTTGCCTTACAATATTTGTTACATTTTGGTCTTTCTCGAGAACTGGGTAAGCGTCTTGTTTCTAAAAGAGATATCATATGAATTTGGTAAACTTAGACTGACTGCTACCATGGCCTTTTTCTTAAATCAACAAATTGATTCACTAACAATTTTCTGATACATGTTACTTGTATTAGCCCTACTACATTGAGTCATAAAATTTCTTAAAAGCCTATAGGCATGACTGAAATAATAACATGATTTACATTATAAAATAGTTCATTTTAGTTTCAAGAGTCTGTGTCATATTCATTTTGTGTAAATTGGTTTAAATATATATTATTGAAGGAAATCGTATTACATATCATATAGCTTCTGTTTTTAGTTTCCACTACAGATCTTAATATTTCCTCAGAATTTATTGTAATATTATATTTATAACGTAGACAAAGTTTAAGGATGTATAAATAACATCAATCAATCTGATCTTAGCCAATTAAAATAATTCGTGAAGAAAACTTGTGAGTAGGTTTTTAAGATTTTTACTGATTCTTTCAAATACTTGTAAACTAAGTAAGAGAAATGTTATTTAAAATTTCAATTATTTTTAATACTTAAGTATAAAATCTTTAATTAGAAAGTCAATGAATAAAGATGTGATATTAAAAAAATAAT